TTTTTAATACTTGTAGATTTTTGCAGTGGGTGTTTATTTAAGAAATAGGACTTTCATCCCTAGTCTTCAGCCTTCCTCTAATCCTTCTTCAGACATGTTTCTTCATTTCCTAACATGTTTTTCCTTGGAGATTATGTATGACTTCAGAAGTTAGATGGCCAAAACTTCCTATATCAATAAATATGTTGTTTTCCACACTTTTTTAAAATCACTTCCTCCTCATCTCAGAAGTGTTCTCTCTGCATTCAGAATAGAGACGTTCCCTCCACAAAATGTAATTTAAAAAAGTTGGCTTTACTTGATGCTTTAGCCAGTCCAACAGGTTTCCTTGGGAACAAAAGGGGGGTTTTTGGTTTCATTTTTGGTGGGTTTTTTTTGTAAGTTCTTGATTTTTACTTTTCTTTTCCTTAACAGCGTCTTGATTTCTTTTTCTCCTGATTAGGTCTTTAAAAGACTGATTGTAAAATATACTTAGTTTTCTGTTTCTGCAAAATGCCTAACCAGTGTTGGGTTCTTATCATCCTTAATCTCCAAGGTTTGTCTTTCCTATCCCTTCTCTCTAATGTTTATTCACCTCCACATTCTATTGCTCTGATTCATTCCAAATTGGTATTATCTCACTTTCTCAAGCACAATTCCAATATCCCTGCTTTATTGCCTGCCTCCCTGATACTTGGATGATGTACCAGAGGCAGCATCATCCTGTTGGAATTTTTGGGCCTTGTGTGGCATGTTTTATCCAACTGTTGTTAATATTTTTTGCACTGACAGTAGAAACTGCCCTAGATTTTTAGGAGCTCTCATCCTACACATTATTGTGCTCACATTCATTAAGTCATTCCAGTTTTCAGTTGTTAACTTGCTGCCAGATACCAGTGAAGGGTGAGTGAGGAATGTGGGAATTCTTGGGACCAAGAGATTGGTGCTTTACTTAGTGTGAAGTATTTAGTTGTCAGAGGATGACAGTTATCAATAGGGAAGGTTTTATTTGCAATAACAAACCTGTTGCACATGCTAGCTGTCTCATGACTCTGAGCCCATTTCTTCAAGGCTCAAAGCAACATCTGATTGGATTGAGAAGTTTGATATCCCACCTCCAAGAGCATAAGCCTGCCCTGTTGCTGAAGAGAGATCCGAGTCCTCAGAAAACCTTTGTCATTTGAATTTCTTTTAAAAGGAAAAAAGGGGGAAACAATTTAAATCATTCTGTGTAGCTAAGCTTTTTGTGAGTCCCAAAGGTGGGATCTGCTTGATTGGCTTAAGGATGGTGATTGTTATTTTAGAGCTTTGAAGGCTGCTGAGTCAGAGTCTGCAGTTGATGGTTTCATTCCCCTTTCGGTAGGGAGACTAATTGCATTACATAAGCCACCATAATAAGTGGTATTTACTGACACCTTCAACTTATTTTGAGGACATGGTGACTGAATTACTTTCTCCTACTAACAGAATGCTTGTGCTCTGACTGTTTAGCTGTAAGATTCAGTCTTTGAATGCTATCTGTCCAACTTTTATTGCCAGCACTAAATCCATATACAGAGGGATGTGACAGGTTTGCAGTCTAATAATTATTTGGATATACTTATTAAAAGCTTCAGGTATTTCACCCATCTGTGAAGCACGTGCCATTATTTGCATTTTAAAATCACATTTTAATCTTTTATTGTTTTCTTTTCTTTTGTAGTGTGCGGTGAAAATCCTTAGTTTAATAGGGTAAACTGAATGTATACAACACATACTGTTGAAAAGCACAATCTTTTTATTGAGTTATAATTATTTCAGGTATCAACTTATTGCTGAACCTTTACTTATGGTGGTTAAAAATAAGTTGTTTTTAAATTGAATGAGGTTCCACTAATAAAATTACCCTGTGGTTCTGATGTCTAATTCAGTTGCAGAAAGTGTAAAGCTCCTAACAGAGAATGGGTGACATGGGGTAATTCTCTTTCCAACCTGTTATATGCAGCTACATCCCCCTGTTATCAAAACTTAAATTTACAGTCTCACCTTTCCAATTTTGTTTGGGATTATTGCAAACTGGGGCCCTGTTTTAACTGCAAATTGAAAGAAATGCAGAAGCATATCTTTCCAGTTATGGTGGGGGGAGGGGAGGGAAATCCCTTTGTCAGCAAAGGACTGGCTCTATTAATTGGCTCTAGTTGAGGGAAGGAAGGTAATATTGCTTAGTGTGTCTAATTTGATTGTACAATAATCAAATGTCAGCAATGCAGATGTTTGAAAATTTGTATGTGTTCTTTCCATGTTTGTCTGTGTAAGCCCTCTGTTTAACAGGCCTGTTGGTATTGGGTGAAATCTTAGCTGCTTTACTGCGTATATTTGCAAGGCCCTATCCCATCCTGTCTCCTCGCAGGCTGTTCTGACTGGAGGGCTGTTTCTAGGCAGAGGGAGGGAGAGTGCTGTGTGACATCAGTGCTTAGGTTTTTCTTTGAAATGTTGCTGTAGAGGCTGGTGGGGAGGGAAAGTGTAGGACCAGATTGGATTACATTCTGGGTTCCAGTGGAGTTTTAGAAGCTGGTTAGGGAGACAGAGATGTAATGTGAAATATCTGAGAATGTATTATTAGGCACTTGGCAAAGGGTTTTGGAGGGCCAGGTGTGAACCAGAGCCACTGTGGTGATGAATGAGGATGTAATCTCAGTAAAGCTGGGGAATGCTTGTAGACTGGGCTGTTCTGTGTTCCCTTTTCATTAGGGTTGGAGCTCCAGGAGTGCAGATTGCACTGTGTAGCTGAGGGCAAAAGGAAGAAAAATAGCTGACATTAAAATTGTAAGGATTGGATTTAATGTCTTCCCTGGCATAGTTGTTTAAAATTTACATTAAGCACCCAGACTCCCTAGTCAGGGTCAGGCCCTTCACACCAGTCGTGTATGAACATGCAGGATAGAACTGTGCCTCCTCTGAAGAACCTGCAAAGTAAAGACAAATGACATATGGAAGGTGGCAGCGAGAAGAATAAATTATTGCATTTAACTACTTTCAAAAGAGAATTTATTTAGTTTACAAAGCTGAGAACTGAGTTAGGAAATGCCATAACTTCATGGATGGCCTTAACCTTTTTTTGCATGTGCATTCTGATATGTTCTTTAGCAGCCAGATCATACGTATCCTCATCTGCCTTGCAGCTTAGCCATCGTTAATTGGTGGTGTTGATCAATTCAGGGAGAGTTTTTCATTTTCAAGGAGCATTGTAAACTCTATCATAGGGACTATTTTGACATATTCATCTAGTGCCCAGCATAGTCAGGCCCTGATTCTGTTTAGGGCCTCTGTGCAGTATTGCGCTCTAATGTTAAACTAAAACTAACATGATGTGTAGAGATCGACTACTTTTTATTTGTTCAGTGGCCTAGGATCTGATCTTCAGATCTCAAGCACAAAAGTTGTAGAGACCTTGGCAGAAAACTGTTCTGTTCCCAGTTAGACAATCTGAGAAGATTAGAGTACGATAAGCTTAAGGGATGGAGTACAATTTGATGACTGATTTTTGTGTATGTGGGAGGGGGGGGAGGTTTAAGAAAAAGTAGTCCCATCTCCAGGAAATAGTGTCTGTTTAGTATCTCTGTATCAGCAGTTAGGACCAGTCATGGGTCTGTAGAATTTTGTGTGGAATAAACAAATCTTTCTACTAAATTGCAATGGTGGAAAATGGGAACTGGCTGGGTATTGAAGTTTCATAGATTTCATAGACATTAGGGCTGGAAGGGACCTCGGAAGATTGAGTCCAGCCCCCTGTGCGTGGGGCAGGAAGTCAGCTGGGGTCATAGGATCCCAACAAGATAATGCATCCAAATTTCTCTTGAAGGTGTTCAATGTAGGTGCTTGAACCACCTCTGATGGCAGGCTATTCCAGCCCTTGGGGGCTTGGACAGTAAAGAAATTCTTCCTTATATCCAGCCTGAAACAGTCTTGCAGTAGTTTATAACAGTCTTTGGAGACGGTTTGAGTCTTTAGAGAGCTTTCTCTTTCTGATTACCATGAAATGTTTGTGCCATGCAGACTGGCAACATCTGGAGTCTGAGTTGAGCATTTTTTCAGATTTGTATTTAACTTTGCAAAATCCCTGTTAGATAGGGAGATACTATACCCATTTTGCATGTGGTTGAGATGAGAAGGTCACAGACTGACAAACTAGGGAGTGGACTCAGGCCTGCTGATTCCCATTCCTCTGCTTCACCCACCAATTTGCCTTTCCTTCTTTTCTTAGTGCTTTTGGAGATAGGTGGAGAGAGATTTTCATTTAATGAGATTTTTAGAAGACAAGTGAAGCTTAGGTTATCTCGTTAGAATTTAATATGGCTATGAAAAACCCTGTATTTAATTACAAAGCAAAGGGTTTTTTTTGGCCCCATTGGTCATTTAAATATCATTGATATATGAAGCAGTGAAATTTGTGCAGTTTAAACTAGTTTTGAGCTGAAGAGCACTTGAACTGTTTTTTGAGGGCACACAAAAATGAAAATGTACAATTTCTCACCGTTTCAATTAAAAAAAAAAAAAAAAAAA